ACATAGAACGTGGCCAAGTTTTCATTAAAATAATCATTGGTAATCAATGTATGTATTATTTTGATCCTCAATATAATAGAAGCAACATGAAAATAGATAAATCTATCAGTTAATGTTAATATTCATATATTTCGTTGTTTTAAAATAAAATGTCTTATATTTGTACTTTGACTTATAAATATATTTTATGATTCATTTTATTGATTATCCTTTTATCTACTCGATTTTTCTGTTGATAATTAAATGCATACTAAACGTATAATCTTATCATGAAGTATATAAAAATATCTCTTGTGCGTCAGAGTCAATAAAATAAAAAAAACTTTAATGAAGTTTATTATCTTAAAATATTTTTTATTTATCGAATGTGTAGTAAAAAAGAATTACATACGTTGTTATCTAATATAATAAGTTATTTTATTTTGCGTACTGAATAGATCCTTCTAGTTTTATTTCATGAAGAAAATGAAAAAAAAAGAATCATACGTAGTTTTTTTGTTATTTTAAATTGGATGACACAAGAAAAGACCTCGTATTTTTTAGTAGTGCACTTGTCGACAATAGAACAAGTTTATATCAGAACAAATAATCATTAAATATAAAAAGAAAGACGAATATCTTTATTGACTACCATTTACTAACTTTTTACTTATTGAATATTTTATCCTACTGAAAATGTTAAATAATCTGGTTGCTAGGGTAATTCATTTCTGCTCGTTCAATTTTCATTAATTAAATAAGATTTATAGTTTCGTCGACAAAATCATGTTATAGAACCAACTAAGACTGATTTAGATACTATTGCAACATCAGAAGAAGTAAATTCAATAATACTTTATATAAATAGAGAAAAAAAAGATTTTTAATTGAATACATTTTTTTTTAAATTAAGGATAAAGATAGTCATGAATGGGATCGTCCACTTGAATTTATATTCTCTCTAATTTCAAATTCAGTTGGTCTTGGAAATGTATGGCGTTTTCCATATCTAGCTGCTAAAAGTGGTGGTGGTTCGTAACCAGTTCTTTTTTTTTAATAATATCTCTCTATTATTCTTGTTTAATTTAAGGTGCATTTTTAATTCCATATTTTATTCTTTATTTTTTAATTGGTGCACCAATATATTACCTTGAATTAGCATTGGGACAATTTTCAAGTCGTGGTCCAGCAACAGCCTTTATACTAGCTAAAGGATGGCAAGGTAAATATGAGTTTAAATCCGATTAATATTATCATACACAGTTCTTTCTTCATTTTTGTAATAACAAACTATTGTCAGTCATTATCAGTGATATAGAATAATGTCGAATTAATCGTATTAATATAAAGAATTCAATAGAAAATAGAACTAGATAATCTAATTATTTAAATTTCTAGGTGTTGGATTTGCAATGATCATCAATAGTGTTCTTTGTATGTTGTATTATAATGTAATAATAAGTTGGGCATTATTCTATTTTGTATCATCATTTCGAACAAATCTTTTATGGAAAAAATGTGGTTATTGGTGGAATGATAATGTAAAATGTTTTGTTCCTGGAAGTGGTAATTCACCACATGTATTCAATAATACCATGTATAATTGTACAGATTCAGAATATCAAAATGCAACAGATTATGGATGTATAGAAATAAAGTTTACCGATAGATCAACAGCTACAGAACAATTTTTTTAGTAAGACAAAAAGAATAAAAATTGATAAATATACGAAAAAATATTTTTGAATTTTAGTAAACTGTTATTAGGAAAAAGTGAAAGATTTGAAGATTTTGGAACACCTCAATTATATAGTACTCTTGCATTGTTAGCTTCATGGATTATTGTTGGTTTATGTATTATTCGTGGTGTTAAATCTTCTGGAAAAGTTTGTTTTATTTATTCATTTATCTTAGAATCATTTTCATAATATAATTACATTTAGGTAGCTTATTTTACAGCTATTTTTCCATACATCGTACTTCTTATATTAATTATTCAAAGTGCAACATTAACTGGTGCTGTAGATGGAATTAAATATTATATTATTCCAAATTGGGATCTTGTTGCGAAATTTGAAGTAATATTATTATTTTTCTAAAATATAATCGTAAAGTTTAGATTACAAAAACGATGTAATAAGGATGAAAAATTGATTTAGGGATATTATTTTATTTATCGACGATATAAAAACTCCTATTCGTTAGGGTTCTGTTTTTGAGAAATAGTAGTATACCTCTTTAAATTTTGTTTGTGCATTTTTTAATCAGGATATAACATTTATATTTAGACATGGCAAGCAGCAGCTTCGCAAGTATTTTTCTCACTTGGTCTTAGTTTTGGTTCATTAATGGCATATTCATCATCGAATAAATTTAATAATAATTTTTTTCGGTAAACTTATCTTTTTTTATATTTCAATAAAAAAATCTTATTTAATATTTTTATTAATTAGACAAATGTGTATTGTTGTATCCTGTGATTGTTTTACAGGAATATTTGCTGGTTTTGCTGTATTTTCTACAATTGGCTTTTTAGCAGCAGAATCAAAAGAAACAGTTGCTAAATATGCTGAATCATCTGGTCCTGGTCTAGCATTTATAACATATCCTGAAGCTATATCACATATGCCAGCTAGTTCATTTTTTTCAATTCTTTTTTTTCTTATGTTACTTGCACTTGGACTTGGTTCACAGGTATTTAGTTTTTTAAAAAAGAATTTTATTTTATTGAATATTTAATAAATTTAGTTTGCATTAACTGATGTTCCAATAACATCAATCATAGAATTATTTCCAAGATTTCGATCTAAACGACCACATGCTGTTGTAATAACTTGTGTTGTTTCATTTTTAATTAGTTTACCATTTACTTGTCCGGTTTGTATTTATTTTATTGTTAAATTCATTAGAAATAAATCTTCTTTTTTCATAGGGTGGAATTTATTTATTCGAATTACTTATGGAATATGCAGCTAATGTATCCATGGTTGTTGTCGGTTTTTTTGAGGTTTATACAATCGCTTATATTTACGGTAAATTTCATTCTTTTAGGTCATATAGAAGTATATAGATAATTATTTGGCAGAAATAGAACATTAAAAATTATTTTTCTACTAGATTTTTCGTATCTTTAGTAATTAGATAATCGAACATTTCGAAATTAATACTAAAAAGATCCATAAAATACTTTCGTATTCAAAGGCTTCAGTGATACATTAGGTAAAATTTTAAATGTTTTTTTTAGGTTTTAATCGTTTTATGAATGATGTTAAAATGATGTTAGGAAAACGAGCAGCACAATATTATCTTTTTCTTACATGGTGTATTATTTCTCCGATTCTAATGTTTGTAAGTTGAATATTATTTTCAATTAAAATAAAAAATTAAAATTCTTATTTTTCTATTAAGGTAATAATATTATCGAAATTATTAACGGCTGAACCTATGAAAAATAACGAAGGTGCTGGTTTTGAAGCTTATGAATATCCTCAATGGAGTACTATACTTGGATGGTTAATTTTTGTTGGTTGTATTATACCTATTCCAATTGTTTATATTTATAATTATATAAAAGAATATAAAAATATTGGTTTAAAACAAATTGTAAGAATAATTATTTATTTTCTTTCTTTTTTTTAAATAATTATTTCTTCTAATAGGCAAATCCGATTGGTGTAGGAAATGGAAATGAACTTATTGAAGATAATGATTATATGAAACAACCTCGATATTTAGAAGCGTTAACACAAAATAATTCACCAAGAGATGATTGGGGACCAAAGAAACGAGTTAATCAACTTGGTTTATATGCTCATTTGAGAAAAATAGAAATTAATAATACAAATAATGAAATACGATTACCATCAACAATAGAATTTCCTAATCGAAGTTTTCATCCAAGTGAAATTGATAATAATGATTCAAGATTTTAATAGATCGAACAGTGAAAGTTTATGATGTTATCAACAAATTTTATTTTCCTTTTTAATTTAAGATAAAATAGAATTCATATTTTCATCTATAACTTTTTATGTTTTATTTAATAATAAAGAATATATATATATATCACATTTTTTCTTCTTAAACAAAAAAAAGAGTGATCCACTTATTAATTGCAAAATATATAAAATAAGATATCAGCTAATGATTGACTCAATGAAGTTTGTTTCTACTGTTTTCCTTGTGACATCAATAAATTAATTATGATAAAGTCATGAACACGATTGTCTGATAAATATCTAATGTATGATAGCGAATAAAACAATAACTATTAGATTGAAAATACAAATTAGGTCAATGTTCAAAGTTTTTTTATTTGGTGGTCCTTCATATTCAGTAACTATAAATAGATATTAATCGACGAACTGATCATTATCCCATTATCAAGACAAATAAGAAATAAAAACACAGATATGATTTATATATAATGACTATTCTTCTCTTTTATTCATCTAATTAAAATACCAATGCAAGGAAAAGAAACGTTTGTTTGCGTATTAGAATGTTAATTAGACAAGTAAAAGAGAAGAAGAATAGTCACACGCGTATAAATCATTTCTGTCTATTTTGCTTGTTATTTATGTTGACAATTAGCCCAAAATCTTCCCAATTTTTTTAAAATAAATTGAATATGGTAAAAAAAAGATCAATGAACTCGTATTCCCTATTTAAATGAAATTCATATTATACTGTGAATAGATTTTTCAACTGCAATATTAAATTTGTTGAATTTTTGTTCTTTTTTATAAGCTTGAGCAAAGTACCTAAGATAGAAAAAACGTGCTTTATAAACCTATTCAATACGATAATCATTTATGCAATCAATAACGCTGTGAGTGTAAAATAATAAATTGTGCAATATATTTTTGTTTTTTTCTTCGCTTATTTGTATTAAAATGCGAAGCAATTATTGTTCTGTTCTCAACATAGGTGCCTCTGTGGTGTAGTGGACAATCACGTCTCTCTTCTAAAGAGAAGGTCGCCAGTTCGATCCTGGTCAGGGGCGTTTTATTTTTTTTAATTTATTTAGATACAATTAGAATCATTAAATTAAATGCATCTAACAATGAAGCAAATGTTCGAAGCGTCAACAAGCTGAACTTCTTTTTATGGACAATTTGATATAATGTATTTTTGTCTAAACCAGTTGCTGCTAATGCTTTCGATAAAAATTGACTATCTCGTTTCCGAGATGTAAGATTTTTTCGTAATTCTTCGATAATATCATCGAAAGTAAATATATTTGTATTAGAATATAAATAAGGTTTACGTGTAAAGCTTTCATATTGAACTACAGATCCACGATTTTGTTTTTTTGATGATGTTGATACAACTGGTTTGACTGATTTTGTTTGTTTTTTATTTTCAATAGGTTGATTTTGTGTGAGAGAAGATTTCTTTTTGTTTGACGATTCTTGATTAAAATTCATTTTATTCTTTCGTACTTTCACATTGAGTATATTATTTCTATATGATTTAGAGGAGGAAACTGTTGAATTCTCCTCATCATCGCTTAGCTCAGAATTGTAATCCTGTGTATTATCAATAAAATTATCTTCATGAGAAATATCCGACAGTGAGTCTGTAAAAGAGTTTTCTATTGTTGATGGATTTGCTAACTCATCAATAGTCCGTTCATGTTTTGAAATAGTAGAAAGACGCGTGCGAACAGTTGATGATAATAATATTCGAGGAATAATTACATCTCTTTTAAGCCACATTATATAAATCGTCAATATCATTCCGATGAACACGATCGGTTTTGACCAATTGATTTTTTTATACCACGGATTTTTCTTAATTGGCAGAAGAATTTTCTCACCAGTCATCTATACGAAGATATGATATTAAAATTAAGAAAAAAAAAAGATTTTTTATTTTTCGATATATTTATTCTTGTAGAACAGAACTATTTTATAAAAGCGGAAGCAATATTTTAAAAATATTTGTCAATATCTGGAGAAAAGTAAATTGATAGTGTTGATAATATTTTTTGATAGTTTTAAAAAACTGTTCAAATGCTAGATGAGAATACTTTGCAAATATTGAATATAATAATAACTCAATCTTTTCTTTGCTAACCACTACAATATCAATAAATGAGTTTAAATTATAAATTAGAGATTCTTTTCTTTCTACATTATTTCATACCTCAGTTGGAGTTGACCTTCGTGATTTTCTTTTCTTGACTGTAGTACTGGAATCTGAAACGCTATCTCCATTAGAGATATTATCTGCTGAAGGTGATACTACGGATAATGTATTATTATTGTTCAAAGTTGGACGAGAATCAGGGATATCTGCTGCTGCATCATCATCATCTGTAGTAAATGAATAGGTTTTTATCATATAACCTTTTTTCTTAGCTCCAGCTGAATGTGTTCCATTAACAGTCAAATACTGTTCTGTCATGTGGTATATATTATTTGATTTAACTATTCTCTAAACAAATACAAATAGATGAAGAATGTATATGTACTTATACGAAAGAAGCTTAGGCAAAATTGTCGTTTCATAACACATGACGATTTAATTTACGTCTGTCGTCTACCTGTGTAGGCTTTTGAAACAACCATGGGGTGGTGTACAGCATACGTATATTCACGCATGATCAATCAATAGAGCGCACATTAGAAGATAAACGATTTCATCTCGTCATAAAACGTGCACACGTCAAGGTCGGTCATATAGAAAAACAAAAATTGCTGATATCAATTTAGAGATACTTTTTTTTTAAAAAATTGTTTTCAATATTTTTAATACAAAAACAAAAAAAAAATTAAACGAATAAGTCCAGAACGATCAAGTTATACAATCATTTTTTCACAAAATAAATATGTCTGTTTTTTTTATTTACAAAAAAAAGTAATTAATATACATGACTATGAAATATATTTATTTATTTGTTGGTTAACGATGAGTCAATAGTATTCTATTATTCAACGGAAGGAAATTATTGCAAAGAAATTCATTAAATTTTGTTTACTCAGTTATTATTTACTAGAAGATATATAGATATACAATGAAAAAATTTTATTTCGATTAAATTTTATCGTTAATTATCATCCAAATGTTGTTGTTTTTCTTCTATTTTCATTAAACCCTAAAGCTATGATAGTTACTATTAGAAGATTTTTCTTTTTCACTATAACATCTCTTTATCAAAATTAAATTTATGACCAGTTAACAGCAGGAATCCAATTCATGTCTTAAATCTGGTACAAAATAAAAATAATTTTTTGAGTTAAAAAGTGCATATATATCTACTTTAAGTTATATTTTATTCAAAAGTCAGACATATTTTACTTATACAATAGTACTTGTTAGTCTATTTTTATAATTAATCATAAAATCACGAAATATCAAGTATAAAAATGTGATTTATTACATTAAGTTAATTATTTTTCTAATAGCAAATAAAATAAAGTACATTCTGTTTTGTCATCTGTTAGATTGGATCTTCGAAGTAGACAAAAAATGCTCATTTAAATGATGACATGCTCTTGGGTAGTCATTTATCTGTCAGAAGCATAATGAAAAAAGAATGATTTCATATAATGATATTTTGTTACAAGTAAAATAATGGTATGAAAGTGACGAAGAATTTTATCATTAATTCAAATATAATGAATCACAAAATATTTCTTTTTTTTTCTAAAAAGAAATTTTAACAATGAAAAATTAATCATTTTTAAAGCGTTGATATTCTTGGAAAAATCTAATTCTAAATACAAGACAAAGTTTGTCTATTTCCTTTTTTTAATTAAACACGTCTTTTTGTGTTATTATTTATAGAGAGTATTTCCTAGTTCTTTATCGAGGCGAATATAATTCACACGAAGAGTTCATTTATGTGATTGCTTCACATGCAATTTGAGTACATTCTTATTCCTTGAGAGAATTGAAGAAAACAAAATATATATATATAGAAGGCAAAGAAAAAATGATTCTATTTATTCGAACTTTTTCTTTTTCTCATGTTCTAAACAGTCTTATCTTACGAAATTTTGTAGTATCTAAGTTAAAATGACAGAACATATTGATAGTAATCGATTAAGTCAAGATCTTCGTTATCGTTTTGAATATATCTCAAAATTTATTAATTTTACACATGATGATATAACAGCATTAAATACATCAGCAACAATAATTCTTCCACTTATACCTGTTATTGTTGATGGTGTTTATAGAAAATTA